TGAACTGGGAATATTGGGTTCTGCTTTGACAGTGTTGGCTGAGCCATACATAAGGAGGTAACAGAGTAGGGCCACAGGAAAACTTGAAGTGGGAAATTCAGAATGGAACTGGAAGACAGCAAAGTGAACACGAACATGGAAAGACAGAGGAAATGCTGGAGGAGGAGGAAGAGGAAGAGAGGATGAAATAATTAATGCAGCTGGTCAGGTCCTCAGTTGTACTGGGAACAGGTAAGACACAGAGGAGCCATTCAAGGATATTATATCCAATTTCCTACCTAAAGATAGTGTAAACATAGACTAAAACAGCCTTAAAAATCACAGGAGAGTCTGACCGCCAGCTTTTTTCAGCCTCATCCTCGGTGCCAAAGTACTGTTGAGGTAAGGTGGTATGTGGGTGCTACAGGGGCTTTCTGCCACTTGAGGTGGCCCTTCCAGGGCATTTTTCAGGTGCTTGGATGCACCCGGTCAGGAATCTGTGTTGGCAAAAAGGTTGACAACTTGGTTTATAGTACAAAAATTGTGTAGTTTGACCTATGTCCACATGATTCATTTGGCATGACGCTACACCTTACTAACACAGATGGAATTAAATTTGCAAGTAATTATCACTATATGGCATATAATAAAGATTAGGGATGTTATAATTGTTGCATAGTTTTAACATACACAGGCCAGATAATATAAACCTAGGAAGGTCCTGGTGAAAATTACACTTCAAAGAAATTCAAAGCTTTAGGTACAGGAGGGCACATTTAAATGAATCAGCCATAGCGGTGTCCTATAGTTACGCTATATTGTTCCTGTGTGATTGGGCCATTTTCATATTCATAATCGCATTTCAAATCACACCAACTCTCAGAGAGGCTTTGAGTGTTTCCTTTTTTACTTTTTTTCCCTCATGGTGTCACTACAGGCCAAACCTGACATACCCTCATGCATCCGTGTACACAAGCCTCACGACGCTGGAAGAGGTATTTGTGCTCTGCTGCCTCCTAAGGGGAGAGTTGTCTTCCATGACCTGTTGCAGGGAATACAAGAAATGGATAAATTAGTGTGCATAAGTTTGAGTGGCTGTACAGCTTGGAGGCTCGTTTTTCTGCAAAGCTTCTATTTGTGCCCCTGGACAGTGGGTATTTTCAATATGAAAGAAGACAAGTCTCAGAGTCAGCAGTTGTGCCAGGCAGCAAATGTATCAGAAATTAAACTGTATACTAACTTTCTGGGCTTTATAGGCTGAGACATTTTATTGAACTTTTAGAGTAAATATTTGTATAAACTGGTGAAGGTCGACTGCAAAGGCAATGTTATTATCTGGCTTAAAATTATTACCTATAAAGTGTTGTTAATAAAATGTTCTCATGTTCAGGCCGAGTTCTCTTACTGCTCATCATTAAGATACATTTTATTGAAAATGTTAGCAAATGTATGGTTCAAACATAATTTCATTATGCAGAAGTCATTTTCTTTAGCACAAAAAAGAAAGGGAGAGCAATTGGCAGTATTTATTTATGAGAGCATACGTGACCTCCATTCCAGCTATTTATGTCATACACTGGCATTTCATCTGTGTACTCCCAAAGTAGATCCGCTGTAAAAAGATGACCTCTGTCTTATTTATGGGCAGAGCAGAGGTGGCAATGGTCAAAATGCTGAGATTCTGACTTCATGACATTTTTATCAACCCTGCTAATGCATTTCAGCTGGAAAATGCTGAAGTTGTCAACATGCAGGTTTTGGATATTTTTTTCATGTCAGATTTTCTGTAATTCAGCTTTTGTAACTGTTGTTTTTACTTCTAAGGACTCTCTTATACCTCATGTATTGCCTCAGACATTCCTGTACATGCATGTAATTCATCCATTTAATTTTCAAGAACATTTCTGTCTTCTCATTAAATGGTAATTTCCTGTATCAGAAATTTATTGTCCTCTCTAGTTGTAGGATAATATTTCAAGATCAGAAAATTATTTATTTTTATATGTTAAGTGGATTTGGGGGTTTGCAAATCAGGTAGAATACATAACTTGATTTGTTTCTTATTGCTTTTAAATTTTTACTTCAGGTTGTTTGCAAATTAGTACTTTGACATTTTCATCACAAAATGACATACTAACCCTACCCCTTCAGCTGTGATGAAAAACGTTATTAAGATTGCAATGTCAAGCTTTCAGAAGCTAGGGGGAAGAAAATGGCATCTTGTCTAAATTGTGCATTCCTAACTTGGCCCTTGCCTCGGTTGAAGGCATTACCATATTGCCTTTAATTATATGAAAAAGTCTATTTTTCCCTTGCTTATTTAATATCCAAAGTAGACCTGTTTTGTACATTAATTAGAATTGTGTAATGAAGAGGTGCTGGGTTTTGTTGCAGAAGTTGGAACGTATTTAGCAAACTTGCTTGGGGATTACAGGAAGAAAAAATGTTGTCTATATTATGGCAGTTGAGGTTTGCCTTGAAGAGATGGATTCCTCTCTTTCACCCGCTGCAGTATTTCTGGACAACTTACTGAAATCAAACTTTTCACAGATGGTCACTGGTTTCCTTGGTGCTTGGGATCATTGGAAATGTTCTGAACACTCAGAGCTGAAAGCCAGGGCAATGGGAGCTGGGCTTTGAGCACATAAAATGCTACACAATGATTTCACAAATGTGATGTCCAAAGTGAGTGTGTAAATTTGACCTCAGTCTTTTTAAGCCTATGTTTCAAGGTGTTCCTCTTCTCAGGATATTTTGAAAGTAAATTATATTATGGATTTCAAGGATAATAACAAAATAGTGATTGGGTAATTTTGTCTTCAGAGCAGTGTTTGAACTACGCACAGTAAGAAAGCCACAGATACCCGCTGAATGATAAGGACAAAATAAATAGCTGCTCATTACATGAAAAGAATCCTCCTGCACTGCATGCATGCATGCTACACAAGCAAGCAAAAAGTTAAAACACATTGAAAAAAAACATAAGAAAGCATACTAAGAGCTACATAATCAGACTGGTAATATCTAAGATGGGAGTTCTCAGGCTACGGTATGTGTACCACTAGTGGTATGAAAACTATTTCAAAGTAGTCTTCAAGTAAAATCTGAGCATCTGAGCAGAACAATGTGTCCTCCTGCATGTGAGTTCCTCTTGTCGCATTCCCACAGGAAACTGGGACAAAGATCTGGAAGCATGCGTATCGCTTGGTACATGCCACATTTCCACCACCGTCACTAATCTGGTAAAATGCAATTCTTTTTCCAGAGCAAATGAAAACGATTACTCCAGGCTCAAAGGATATCCTCTTAAGCAATAGTTCACATTACCTGAAGCAAAGTGCCAGGTTATACACTTACTCCCCTCCTCCAACTCTTATTTAGCAGGAAAGATGAAGTCAAATGGCAGTGTGTCCTTCTAGGAATATCCTCAGGTGCACTTCACAAGCTTTTGCTAAGTAAGCTAATGGAACCAGTGAGAACAAACAGGAGTGACTTGTTGTCTTGTGTAATTTTAAAGTAATTTGCTGACAGCTAAAGAACTGTGAATATTAAATTCCATCCCAGGCATTCTAGTACATAAACTGTAGCAGGCAGAGACTTTTCCCACCTGCTACTCCTTAAAACTGACCTGACTTTTTTTATCCCTAGCTTCCATTCTCATCTGATTATAATTGCCTGGCATTCACAGTTTGTATTCCTCAGGCTTCTCATAGTTCCTTGCTCAGCACATCTGGGCTCCTTGTTCCAACCCCAGTTATCTCCATTGTTTCCTCAGCCCACTCTCCCCATCTGGACGCCTCTGAACCCCACCTTCCCCCATCTTTGTCCAAGTCCCAAGTTTTGTCCGCACGCTAGGGTTCTTCGTGACTAAGGCACAGCAGAGTCTTTAAGGCTTTACTACTCAAATCTACGTTTTCAGTGAGCAAATATTTCAAAGCAAGTTTTTCTGAAAGTTTATAACTTAGCAGAAGCTGGATGTTTTCACCACAATTCTTATTACTCTTTCCTGATTAAAAGTTCCTGTTACAATGAGGCTCCTGGATAGATACATATATTTAACAAATATATTTGAGTGCTTTATATCATCACCGACTCTATAACTATGTAAGCAACCACATACATACATATGACTACGTAAACTAAAAGCATAGATATAAGCTTAAGCAATTTTGCATCGGTGACATTATCTGAAAAATGAAAAATGGATCGTATCCAATTAATGGGTAAACTCGTAATTAGTCATGCTGTCATTAACTAGTCATTTAAGTAGGTTAATTAATATGTGGCTGTGCATTTAAGAACAAAATTTGAACTCAAAAACATATTAAAGATAATATTGCAATCCTATATCACTTGAAATATTTATTCATCTGAACATTTATTCAAACAGAAGCAAGCATCCACTTAACTGCTAAAGATACATAAATGTACAGTGATTTTTGGATCAATACAATGCATTGGAATTAACAGTGCTAAGTAAGTCCTAACTAACATATAAAATGAAGTGATTAGAAGTATAATGCACTTCTTATTTCCAACAGTATGGGAGGTGACAAATAGCATTTCAAGACATTCGCAACTGACAAAGGAAAAATGTATTAATGCTTGCTGCTTAACACAACATAAAAGTAAACATATGGGTGCATGTTTTAATAGATAGTTATAAATAGGCATACATGTGTATTAATTTGAATCTAATAGAGCAGTAGCACTCAGTAATATGATTAATAAAAGACAATTTTAAAATAGTTTTATTGGGCAATCAGTGCTAATGGATTTACTTTTATACTAAATAATCTATGTATTTCCTAGTAGCATTATTAAAACCAGTATTCATTGTTATAATTTCAAAGCAAATACACTTAGGTAATAATCATTGGCAATCACTGGCTTACATAAGCTCTTTCGCTGTCTTTAAACATATACAAATGTTCAAAACTGAGCAATATATATTAACATATTGTATCTTGACAGAGTCCCAAAGAGAACTGCCTGCGAAGTTACTGCACTTCAAGTACTTTCTAGTACTTACAGATGTGTCTGAATGCTTCACTTTGCTGCTGCTTTTGAGAAGAGAAGAAAAGGGAATTAGGGAAAGCCTGCTGAATATTTAGGAAAATATTCTGCTGCATAACTGAAGTAGCAGGAGATCCATAAAACCAGTCCACAGAAATGCTCTGTGGTTTATCAGTCTGTAGTGGAGGTGAAAACTTCCCCATGATTAAATCACTGTTTACATTCCATTTTTGGTATTCATGCACAAACTGCAGTCTATCAGCATACAGCATTTTCCACAGAGGATCCATAAAATAATGTGTTTGGTAAAGCCAGTTTGGTGCTGGGTAGGAAGGATAGTGTTCCCATGGCATGAAATAATTCACAGCAAGGCAATGCTCTAGCTCCTTTTGACGCCCTCGCTTTCTTGACCTTCGATGTTGCCTGAAGTCCCCGTGAACAAAGTCATTTAAATTTGATGGGTGGATACTCCAGTAGTTTCCTTTGCCATCCTCACATCTTCCCACCTTGATGAAACAATCATTTAGTGAAAGGTTGTGCCTTACACTGTTTCTCCAGCCCCGACCTTTGTTCCTGTAGAAAGGAAAATGATCTTCAATATATTTGTAGATAGCAGCTAAATTCAGTTTATTTGTAGGGGAAGAAAGAATTGCCTTTGCAATTAAGGCTATGTAAGATAGGGGTGGTTTTTCCAGAAATCTTGCTTCATCCACACTCACAGAAAGACCATTTTTGTCACCTATGTGAGAGCTGAGAATTCGGGGTGGAATCCTGTGAACCAGTTTTCCTTCTTCTTCTCCTCCTACTGTATAGACGTCTGGATTTCCTTCATTGTTTTCAAGAAAGTCTTCACTCATTATAGCAGCATGAAGTCTAGCATTTATTTTAAGCGTCCTGTTACTGCAAGTTGTCAGTTGAATAACTGGTCCACTGAAAATAACCAGCAGGAGAAATGAAAGTTGGACTTTAAATGTGCTGCTCTCACATACCCAGATTCCTATTTTATACTCTGTTAAGTCAACAATGAAAACTGAACTGCCTATGTTTACAAAAGTCAAGGTGCAAGTCCTAGCTGAATAAAAAAAAATACAAAATAATTATACTGTGTTAAGTATGAAGATAAACAGACCATGACGTTAGCCTCTCACTTCATTATAATCTGAGAAAACACCCTTCAGTGTTCCCCATTGAAACATAATGATTAATGAAAAATTGACGGTGGCTAGATAGAGTTGTGAAAGGATTAGACCCTCCAGTGATATGCAGAACAAATTGAAACCAACATGTTGGTTCCTGTGTTCCACACTTAGTCAAACGTGTTTTATTTAGTACAACAAACATTTGCTTTACACACTAAAAGAAAGTACTGTGTGAAATGAAACTTGCTATCAAATTTTGTAGCTTCAGGATACCTATTCTTGGTGAAATTGAATTAAAGCACAAAAAATCCACAAACCGCTCCCAGTTTTCCTTAATAACTCTCTGATCCCAATTGTGCAACTAGTTTTCATGCTGAGTATGCATGTGACCCGTCCTGCTGACCCAGGAAACCACCTGAGGGAAAAAGTACCACTCCAAGGAAGTGAGCATTGTGCTCTGCGTCCCTCAAAGCATGAACTGTTGCTTGAATTTTGACATTGCCCTCAGCCTCCTGAGGTCTGACACTGTTAAGGACTCCTCTCATGTGATTAGCCAAGGAAGGTAATTAAATATGTTTAAATATGTTCTAAAGAAAATAAAAGCGGTAGAAACTTTAACAGGAGATGCATTGTCTTCTTTTGGGTCACTTTTGATGTTCAAAATACATATTCCCAAATGAGATCCATGTTTCGAGGTATCAATGACAGCCTCAACAATTCAACCTTATGAGGCTGAAGTTGATGTCATTGTTCAGGCTCTGATGGGTTCTGAAAATAACTCTTGGTTGCTTCCTTCAGATATTAATTCTGGCAAAAGGGGTGGGGTGGGTGGGACTAGGACACCCATTAAACTGATCCTTTTCCCTCTGAGCTTAAAGTTCACATCCCGGCTGATCATCTTGATTGGCCACTTGCAAGCCTTTTCTCAGGCTTTCAAATCCACCAGCCTATGTTTCAGTTGGTAGCCACAATGTTTTTAGATCAGGAAAAAAGACTCGTAATGCTATTGTTCACATGGGTTATCCAGCATTTCTGTGTCAGCGCAGAATTGCCACCTACTTTCTTGCAAGATTTAATAGAGGACTTTTCCACTAACCATTGTGAATGGGATGTACCTGGTATTTTAACAGCCTTGGCTGTTCAAAAATCCTAGTGATGACATGATGAGCTACTAATTGTTTTTCCTGGGTCTGAAGTCTCAGCAATGACTTCTTTTGAAGGCATTCATTTGACCTGCTCTATTCCTACCAGAAATTCCCTGCCTGGCACATCCCAAAGTTGCCATTATCTTTCCGTTACTGGTGGCTTTTCATAACCCTCTGATGAACTACTTTACCCAGCTTGTTCTCCTCCTCTCTTATTTGCAGCTGAATGGTTGCCAGATCATAGCAGAAATTACTGAGATTAGCTCTGAAATGTGTGATCTGGCACTTTAGACTATTTGTTACAAATCATTCCTTTTCTGTTGCTGCAACTGTAAGCAGGTCATGCCTAAAGGGGTTCCTACAATAATAACATCAAAAGTTTGATTGCAATTCAAAATACTGGATTTGCTATAGATTATTAGGTTATTTCTACTGAGACTTGTGTTTTTATGGAACACTGCAGTTGCAGACTGGAGAACAAATGCCACTCACTGTGACGAGGACTATATATTTCTTCCCCCATATCTCCAACAAAGAAACACAGAATCAAACACATGTTCTGCTATTTTAGTAGTGACTTTGTAAATGGAGAGGATTTTAAAGAAGGACTAGGCACAGAGACTAGTCTTTGAGTGCCTACAAATACCCACATTAAATCAAGAATAAGCAAAACCATCTTATTATGGTTTTCAGTTTTAAGGGCAGGTTTTCAGAAACTGAGGAAACTGAGGTTATTAAAGGGAGCCAGACTGAAGAGTTCAGAAATTTAAATGTAGTAAATGCCCAAAAGTCAAAAGCATGAGCTTGAACTCAAATCATAAGCAAGAAGAAAAAATGTGTAGGAAAGGGCTCCATACTTGAACAGATGAACAATCCTTTCAGTGAGTAAAAGAAGATTCTACAGGGAAGGAAAGATAAAAGGGTGAGCAAAAGGAGATACATTTGGAAGGGCTGGAAGCCCTGATCTTCGAGATGAAGATTTATTTTTTCAGATATGCCCTAAAGGAAAGCATTCATCCCATACTTCTGGGCATCTTGCTTGTTCCTCCTTTCTCCACATTATTTCTGGAATTAACTTTTGTTTTCCTCTGAGTCCTGCCTTTAAAGGTTAAAGGGTGAAAATCTCTCTCTTTCCCCAAATCAAGGTTCCTTCTGAAAAATGTAAGGCAAATTCCCTGTTTCATCCTTATTCTTTGTGGGAATCTTCTTGTCACTGCCTGAAATGTCTGCAAAGCTTTCACATTAGAGGGACAACCACCTTCACTGGCTTAATGTCCAGTTTTATCTGAAAAGCAGATTCAGAGGCAGGGAAAGCATACTGTCTAGTCTTACTATACAGTCTTTTTCCAACCCGGGGAAGCCGATTCTTCAAATATCCACACACACCTTATTAAAGCAGCATTTTTGTTATTGCATTCTCTACAGTGCTGCTAAGACATTGGATGGTTAGAAATCTGAGATTTCCCACAAAACACCATAACAAAGAAGGGCCCAGCTTTGTTAGCCAGACTCGTTAAATTATTTATCCTTTTGATTTGTCAATAAATGAAACGTTCTTGAAAAGATTAATGGGTAAACCAGAGTATTTGGAAATTCTGTTGCAGTAATGTAATCTGTTCTGAATTTTCACTGCACAAAGATTGTCTTTTCCTCTGTCAGTGTTTGGCTCTCTGTCATCAATTTAGGTTAAAGAGAGTTTTGTCAGTGACTTAGCTGTGATTGTCTGAATGCGGGCTATCCCCTTGCAATAATTCTAATGTTTCTTTTTTTATATATATTTACAAAGACTGCAATTTTTATGCTTGGCACTGTGAAAACAGCAGAAATTTTAAACAGTGAGCTGGTTTCTACTCTGGGTCACAGAATAGACCAGTTGCAGTCATAGGACAAAGTTTCATAAAAAAATTCTGACAGCGCATACAATCTGTAACTAAGAGCAGAAAACATTTGAGGGCAGCCTTTGTCCTCACTCAGTCTTTATTACTGATATTTAACTTCAATCATGTGTAATTTAGAGTGAAAATCTTGCTTAAGCGAAATGCTGTGCTTTCTTCCTTAGCTGTACCTACTTTAAGAATGAATTGCTGTTTCAAAATACCTCTTGCAATGTGCCAGCAATGTTTTTTTCTACGGGATATAACCTTTAAAATCTTTCTTTTACCTCTTGTTCAGCACTTTTGACCATTCAACAGTCAGATAGAATAGTGTTCTGTGCAAGGAGAAAATGTTTTTATGCCTTATCCTGATAGATATATTTAATAACAGTGAAGTAAGTAATATATCTCAAACTCTCAGCTGAAGAAGTGCAGTTTTCTGGGGCACTAGGGAATACACTATTAGGAAGCCAAGTGGAACCAGATTTTATACTGCTCATCTTTAGCCCATGCTTAAGACATAATTGTTTTGCAGTTGACACAGAAAGGTATATTCTTTCTCTTTCCAGTCAAGGCCAAGAAAGATCAGCTGGCCAGTGCTAATAATAGATATGCCAAAAATGTAGGCAGGTGCAAGTATTTGTTAATTAAAGGTCTATTTGGCTATTGCTTTTGTTGCTCTGCTGTGTGTTTAAGTCCCAAGCCTGCTAATTCTGTGACGTTCTTTCCTGTAACGTTTACTATGCTGTTCAATAGAGAAGCTGTCTCATATAGACATGTCTTATTTTATACACAGCCTTCCTCAATTCTATCTGTTGTTTCCACTGTTACTTAAACAGTGTTTAAGAACACCTAGAAGCCATTTGTCTTGATTCAATATTTGAATTTGGTGTGTTCAAAAACAGTAAGGAAGATGAGGCTTTAGAAGTGTTTAGAGAAGTTGTCCCATTAAAATGTTCTAAAATTACCTGGTACTGTTACAGTCTGAAAGGAAATAGTTACTCTGTTGACTCATTTAGGTATTTTTGGGCACTGTTTTGCAAGATGCAGAGAACAAATGATATTATTTTCATTACAATATTTTCACAGTGTTAATGCAATTCTTATACATATAACTATACTTGCTTTGGTGTAACTCTATATACACTTTTGATAAAATACTGCACTGTCATGAAAAGGTTAACCCAGTACAAACTATCCAGGCAAGTCCTAAATCTGGTGGAGAACAGACATAAACTTCTACCCCTCTGCGCTGAAGAAGATGAAGCTTGTGGATAGGAAGTTGCTTTCCACAGAGTGTGGCCTCCCTCTGTTCTCAGCTATGTTTGTTGGTCTCCACCCTTATAACCAGTGATATTTCTTTCTTGTGTGAAGGCAGAATCTTCTCTCTCTTTTATATTGTTTATTTCTTATACAATGTTTTTCTGTTTCTTATTTTAACTGACCTTACTAAGTACACGATGCTTCTCTCAGGGCATGAGACTGAAGACTTTGTCACTCAGTGGTAGCACTTAGGCTAAACTGCTAAATAACCCTTTGCTTCCCAGCTCCCATGTTTCTTTACATCCAGGACAGAAGTAAAGGATTTGAACTCGGTGAATAGCAAGACAGTTACAGGTGCACAGAGTAATCTGAGTCAATTAAAGTCACTGATATTACTTGGTTTAAAAAATAAATATTTGAATACCACTTTGTTTTC